GATGAAGCCATTTATAACTGCCTGTCCTCAAGAGAGTTTGTGGCTGTGTAATTGACAATAAACTCACTGCAAACCTGAGAATGCTGTTTTAATAACCTTATCCTAAGGCACTTTCTACTGTATGCCTCAAAGGGTTTCAATAAAAAAAAAAATCAACCTGTAGAGACAAATTTTCTTGTTTAAACACCAACTCAATGCATAGAACCAGAGTGCCAGTGTAATGACATCTTTATGGGGCAATAAAACCTAAAAACAGCTTTCATCCTTCATTTAAAGGAACTCGGTAAGAAGCAGCGCCATATAAAATAATTTGATTTCTTTTCTTGAAGAATAGAACACATGAATGAAGATATGCATTCTCCCACGTTCAACGGGCTTGCTTATATCGCATAGCTGCTCAAAGTCTGTAAAATAAACAAACCCTCATTCAGCTATTCTGATTCATCAGATGTGGCTACGCAAGTCAACGTACGCTAAAAATATCATAATTCTGAAGGAGGGGGAAGAGGCGGTAGAAGAGGATCAAGGAATATAAGACGACCAGAGGCCCTGCAAATAAACGATTTAATCACATGAATTTGTCTTGAAAAACAGGTTTACACGCTTAATGTGAATAACACATTCCACAACCAGTTCTATTATTACCTAAAGGGTAAGGCTGAACGTCTGTTATTTTGACAAATATTTAAACGAAACAGTATTCCTGATATAAATCAAGTGATGGATGCAACTTGGACTTGGGACTAGGAGCACCTTGGACTTGGGACTTTCCTCCTGGAGAGGAACGAAGACCTTGGCCCTCAACCATCCTGGGATCTTCTTCTTCTGAGCTCCTCTGAGGATCTGCTCCTCAGCGGCCCATCAGTTTTAACCAGTGGGCAGATCATCAAGAATAACATTAGGATTCCCAGGGTCTTGGACCGATTTTATCACATCATTTGCGTCATTTGTCCTTCCCACCCAACCATCTCAATAGAGCAGTTACCTTCAGCTGCCTTTGGAGCGTTGGGGTTTACTTCTGTAATGTTACTTTCTTTCTCAGCTGAACTGAACCTGGTAGAACCAGACCGAGGTCCATTGCCTTGGAACCTGACCAGAAGTCGACCCATCCAGTTCCTTTCTCTTTCCAGGGCCAGCCCAATTCCTTGATCCCGGCATCCTTCAAAAAACACTGTTTTCCTTGGCCAGGATGAATCCGGCACGAGTTGCACAGCCAGGCCAGCAACAGAGGGAGATGTGAAGCACTCCATTGTTTTCTCTAGTGGTTTGCTACAAGGAGCATTTTTATAGCCCGGCCTCCAGCAGGGCTGATCTATTTAGTCAGCTTCATGTTGTCAAATATTCTGGAAAGGATAGTTTTATTATGGGGATTCTGGAGAAAGCTTTTTTCCCTGTCATTTTGGCCTCAAGACACTATTGCTGGCTTGTACACTACATTATACCCTAATCCTGGGATAACAAAACAAAGTTGTTTCCTAGGCCAACGCACAAAATTGACATCCTGACTCACAAACTTCCCAATCCCAAACAAGCAAGAGTTACACTCGCATCATGTGACACAACGAGATGTGTACACAATCATTCACAGACATCCTGGGCTTAGCAACAACTACAAGCTACACATCTGGCCCGCTGACCCGCCTGCACAAGGAGAGACTCTGCTTTTGCACACTGGCATTGTGTCAACTTGGATTCCTCCTCAAAGACTATTAGTGTTTTACCAAGGAAAAAAATGAGGATTACATGAGTCTCTGACAAATAATGGTTGTGAAAAAAATCCGAATAAACCATCTCCGCTAATGTAGTCTAACATTTTATCCGCAATCAGATCAGAAACTTTTAAAATGCTCTAGTGCAGGGGTGTCAAACTCAATTTCATCGAGGGCCCCATCAGCATTGCGGTTGCCCTTGGGGGTGTGTGGCCAGGGTGGGTGCGGCCTACTGGGTGGGTGTGGATGAAATGGGTGTGGACTACTGGGTGGGCATGGCCAGCTCTACATCGTTCGCATCAAGGGGGCCTGTGGGGGCCTGGGCAGGAGTGGGACAGATCTGAGGGTCTCTGGCAGAAGGGGGTGGGACCGGGGCAAGCGCCAAGGCATGGTCCGTTTCTTCATTCCTCACAGAGGGTGACACCTTCCCAGCATGAACCCAGGGGGTGCGGCCTACGCGGCAGGGGCTGGTTCCTCACTGTTTCTAGACCAGTGGTTCTCAACCTTTTTAATGCCGCGACCCCCAACTGGTCGTAAGTCGAGGACTACTCAACTGGTGCAGCACCGCTTGCAGAATGGGACTTTTGGCGGGCTCAGCAGGGCAGAGACAGCCTGGACAATTCCTATTGGCTTTTGAAAGCCAATAGAATTAGACTCTGTTCAAGAGAGTCTGTTCTATTGGCTTTCAAAAGCCAATAGAATAAAAGGGAGTAGCACAGCTAAGAAAAAGGGGGAAAAAATGGCGGACTGCGTTGTTTGGCGACCCCCGTGAAATGGTCGTTCGACCCCAAATGGGGTCCCGACCCACAGGTTGAGAACCACTGTCCTAGACGGCCTTGTGGAGCTAAGACTGAATGCGTTTCAGCATAGATGGCTATCACAAAATTGTACATTGGCTCCCGGCCGGCCTGGGCCAGGGCCAAGGTAGCGGGGGCTGTTCCCTCACTGTTTCCAGGATGGCTTTGCGGGCCACATGAAACCACTTTGCGGGCCGCATCCAGCCCCCGGGCCTTGTGTTTGACATGTCTGATCTAGTGTTACTAGTTACCAAACTATCATCAGGACCTTTTAAAAAGACTAATATCCAAACCATACTTGTAAATCAAAGAAAATGTTTTTTTTAAAAAAAAGATAAATGGGATAAAAAAGTTAAAATGTCTGCCCTGCCACACATCAGAAATCTTCCCCAATCTTCCACCAACTTCGGAACCCCATCTTCTGATTGAAATAAAAACCCAACTTTGCCAGGCAGAGGGGTTTTCCCAGAAGGAAAAAGTCTACTTCTGTTCACTTAAGGGACATAATATACCTCCAGAAAATAAGGAGGTAATAATAATAATAATAATAATAAAGTTGGAAGGGACCTTGGAGGTCATCTAGTCCAACCCCCTGCTCAGTCAGGAAACCCTATACCATTTCAGACAAATGGCTGTCCAGCCTCTTCTTAAAAACTTCCAGTGTTGGAGCATTCACGGCTTCTGGAGGCAGGTTGTTCCACTGGTTAATTGTTCTAACTGCTAGGAAGTTTCTCCTTAGTTCTAGGTTGCTTCTCTCCTTGATTAGTTTCCATCCGTTGCTTCTTGTCCTGCCTTCCGGTGCTTTGGAAAATAGCTTGACTCCCTCTTCTTTGTGGCAGCCCCTGAGACATTGGAAGACTGCTATCATGTCCCCCCTCGTCCTTCTCTTCATTAAACTAGACATACCCAATTCCAGCAATCGTTCCTTATATGTTTTAGCCTCCAGACCTCTAATCATCTTTGTTGCTCTTCTCTGTACTCTTTCTAGAGTCTCAGCATCTTTTTTACATCGTGGTGACCAAAACTGGATGCAGTATTCCAAGGTCAACTTTTTTCCCCTGAAGCTTTGAATGAAGAAACCATGATAAGCCAAGGCCACCAGCCCTGGGTCAGAACTTTCACAGGGCTTCTACACAGAGCTTGGAAACTTGCAGAGTTCCCAGCATTTTGGGGTTTCGCATCCCAGAACAGAGCATAAAATTACATTTCCTGAAAGGAAGACATGCCTGTGGCTCTATTGGAAAAACTTCAACTTATACAATCTGGCAGAATACAGGATTTTGTTTTCTTACGTGGCCCTGCCAGACAACATCCTTAATGATTGAATCAAACCCTTTGGATTATGTATTGATTGTGTCACTTGAATTCTTGGGCAAAATATACAAAGAGGAGATTGTGTAAAGAAGTCTCTGAAGATCTGTTTTAATTATTTTGATTTCTGGGTATAAACTTGCTATTTTCTGTTTAGGTACATGCTATCAGACGATTACAAAACAGAAGACTGCCTTTAAAAAGGCTCTGTCTTTGAGAAGCCCAACAGCTAGAAAAATAACTAAAACGTGGAAAGCATTAACAGGACAGGTGATCCCCGTAACCTTCTAACTAACACGAAGGTGGACAATGTTTAACATCCAGGCCTCTGAGAGTGTTTTGATCTGAGTGAGACTCGGCAGCTTAAATGGTGGCAGGATTGGTGCAGATGCCAGAGAGGGAGAGAGGCTGAGCCAGCCTCATTTCTTCCAAACCCAGAAAGCGACTCTTTCATGGGTTCAGCCAATGGGAAATAAAATGACCAAGAAGCAAGCAACCATATTAAGCTTCAGATTTTACAAAGACAGAAGCAAAACGCTTAATCCATCAGAAACTCCACTGAAATGTGTAAGAGGGCCCAATGAAAGTCACCACACACACAAAAAAACTTCTCTTGACTGCCTTATACAAGACCTATAGGGAGGGCAGGGGTAGGCAACCTTGGCTCTTTTATGAATCGTGGACTTCAACTCCCAGAATTCCTGAGCCAGCAGGGCTCAGCTTGGAAACTCTCCCTTTCCCCTCAGCATGGCTGGCTCAGGAATTCTGGGAGTTGAAGTCCACAAGTCATAAAGGAGCCATAGTTCCCCCATGCTGGCTCAGGAATTCTGGGAGCTGAAGTCCACGAGTCATAAAAGAGTGAAGGTTGCCTACTCCTGGCCTAGGCAGTGGCCCTCCTTTTAAATTCTGGCAGTTTGCATTGACTCTTATGCATTTATTCTACTCAAATATCATTCACACATTATCCTTGCCCTCCGGGGAACTTTCAATATGCTTCATCAACTGTAGCCCAACAGACACTTGAATGTTCCTTCATTTTACAATCACCTTAGAAGTCCTTACCAGATTCCCTGAGTCTCTGCCACCACATCCGTTCTCCCTTCAGTCAAGGAAAACCCAAGAAAATGGATTCCCCTCGGTAATCATAGAAGCCATCTTACACAAGAACCAAAGGAGCACTCACCCAAGTCGGCTTTTTCCTTCAAAATATCCTTGAAATTGAGGCCACTGTTGTGTGTGGATTGCCGGAACCTGCTTAGGGCTTCTCTCTGGCCATCTTTGCTCAGTTCTGGAGGTGTGAAGGCTTCATCCCGGACGCCCCGTTTCCACTTGGAGATATCTGTCTGGGCCCATTGGGCCAAGTCCTCGAGCTTCACGGTTACTTTTTCTGAAGCAGCAATGACTTCATCCTGGAAGAGCCAAAGGGGAAAAGGTCATGTTGGCTCCTGACTTGTATCGTCACCAAATTACAACAGGCTTTTCTCGCCAAATGATGTGGAGAAGATCTGCTCCCAGCACAACACCGCCTTAAAAACAGTGTGAGGATTCTGGGGCAGCCTGAAAGACAGATGCCCCTCTTCACAGAGGCTCCACAGCCTTTGAGGAGGGGCTTCTTTTCTTTTCAGTTGCTAAAAGGAGGAGCCAGCAGGGCCATGGGCTGAGGTGGCTCGCTTTTTGTGACTCTCCTCTGGTGTTTCTCCCCCATGCTGCCATCCCAGGTGGCAGGCAGCAGGCAGCTCGACTCTGTCTCCCGTAATTTCCATCCACCCAAAGTCAAGCTATTCTCCAAGGCACCTGAAGGCAGGAGAAGAAGCAACGGATGGAAACTAGTCAAGGAGAGAAGCAACCTACAACCAAGGAGAAACTTCCTGACAGAACAATTAACCAGTGGAACAACCTGCCTCCAGAAGCAGTGAATGCTCCAACACTGGGAAGTTTTTAAGAAGAGACTGGACACCCATTTGTCCGAAATGGTGTAGGGCAGTGATAGCAAACCTTTTAGAGAGTGAGTGACCAAACTGCAACCCAAAACCTACTTATGCATCGTCGAGTGCCAGGTGGGTGTGGCCCATTGGATGGGTGTGGCCCATTGGGTGGGCGTGGCTGTGGTAACGGCAGACTGGGTGGGACTAAAAAGTTCAATCAATCAATTCCAACTTTGCAAGATCTTTTTTTTTCCCTGAGAGAAGTTGAAATTGATTGGTTGAATCTTTTTTTTTTTGCATACGGCAGCGGAGGCCTAAAGCGAAAAGGTTTTATAAAACCCAGCTGAAGGCCTAGGAATGGGGCGATGGCCTGTGTGCCCACAGAGAGGGCTCTGAGTGCCGCTTCTGGCACCCGTGCCATAGGTTCGCCACCACTGGTATAGGGTTTCCTGCCTGAGCAGGGGGTTGGACTCAATGACCTCCAAGGTCCCTTCCAACTTTATTATTATTATGGATCATCGCACAGTCAGCCAGATGTTCAGACTGGATTTCGCATTTTGTCTATCGAGTCCTTACCCAGGACCTGGGATAGGCAGATGTGGATGCTTGACGGTATTACAGATATCATCGCAGGATGGAAGCAGCTCCTAGTAAGGCCGCCTTTTGCAATTGACTAATAGCAAATTTGTCAATTCCAATGGTGTTCAAGTGGTGTTCCAGTTGTTTTGGGATTGCACCCAAGGAGCCTATGACTATTGGTACTACCCTTGCTTGCTTTTGCCACAGTCTTTCTATTTCTATTTGTAGGTCTTTGTATTTTGTTATCTTCTCTAGTTCTTTCTCGTCTATTCTGCTGTCTCCAGGCACCACCACCACTACTACTACTACTACTACTACTACTACTACTACTACTACTACTACTACTATTATTACATTAAAACATTGTGTCTTCCCACTCTTTTCCCTTTTCCCTAACCCATCTCATTTTTTTAAAAAAATCCTACTTTCATTAAAAGCAATTCCAAAGTAGGGCAATATTGGCTGTTCCAATGTTGGAATGTTGGTTCTGAAATGTTAAGATGGAGCCTTGTGGCAGCAGATCGTGTTGATCTTTTGCTCTGCTCCGCCAATATCCATGGAACTCACTTCCCAGAGGAGAAATCAAGACACCTTTTGAATCTTGAGCAGGAGCCGTTTCTGGGTCTCCAGCCAGGACTCAGGGCAGGCTGCTCCTGTTTTTGGGAGGCTACTCTCTCCCCCCACCCAGGGCATCAGCACAAGAGGGAGCCAAAATCCTATGGAAAGAAAGCCTATGGCTGCAGCACTTGGCACTTAAACCATTGCAGGAGATGTTAAAATACACTAAGCAAGCTGCAAGGCGGTCAAACCGGTCAGTCCTAGAGGAGATCAACCCTGACTGCTCTTTAGAAGGCCAGATCCTGAAGTTGAAACTCAAATACTTTGGCCACCTAATGAGAAGGAAGAGCCTAATGCGGGGAAAGATGGAGGGCAACGGAAGAAGGGGACGACAGAGGATGAGGTGGCTGGATGGAGTCACTGAAGCAGCAGGCGTGAGCTTCAAGGGACTCCAGGAGATGGTAGAGGACAGGAAGGGCTGGAGGAACATTGTCATGGGATTGCGATGGGTGGGACACGACTTCGCAACTAACAACAACAAAGCAGGCTCAGACCTGGTTAGGTTTTTGGGTGGGGGATCAACAGAATAGGCCAGGGTTTTCAGTAGATTACACTGAGAAGTCTATATCTCATCCCCAAAAAGGGCACACAAACAAGTCTCCAGGAATTGAGCTTGACTTGGAGGAATCTTTGCCTTTATAGCCTTCACAGAAATAAATAACCCACGGAGATTTCACGTGAGCAGATGCCCTTTGGGGGGAGCGTAAAGGGACCTCCTTGATTGGGCTAGTCTTTCTTGTTCACATCATATTGCACACGCTATGATTGTCAATGTCATTTCAATCGACTTTTTATACACATTTCAAGAATACCAGTTGAAAAAGAATTTACTTCTAAATAATTAGAAACCAGAGATGTGTGTATGTGTGTTCCATCCTCCATATTGGCAGAGATTAAGCAAGGGCTCCCTTTTTTGAAAATGCAATTAATCTGCAGAGGCAAAAAATGCATAGCACGATGAGTAACGGTTTTAACTTGTTCTTATTTGCACAAATGATCTAATTATAAATGTGGTTCCTGGAAATCTGAGTCACTAGAAAATTCCTGTTTATGATACAATTTCCTTGTCTAAGACACAGATATTGAAATAAACCTTTGTTCTAAAAGTTACATGAAACATTTTGACATAATCACCCAAGAAATTATTATAAAAACTCTTTGCAGGTCTCCGGCAAAAAAGGATCATTGGCAGCACTCTGATTTCCTGCACATGTTTTCAGGCAATTAGTTTTAATTCCTCTGCCCCCCCCAAGTTTCCTTAAATTACAGGTAGTCCTCAACTTACAACAATTTGCTTAATGACCATTCAAAGTTACAAATATCCCTGAAAAAAAGTGGCTTGTGACCGTTTTTCACACTTAGACTGTTGCAGCATCACGTGATCAAAATTCGGATGCTTGGCAACCAGTTTGTATTTATGACAGTCTCAGTGTCCCGTGTGTGTGTGTGTGTGTCACGTGACCCCTTTTTGCCACCTTCTGATAAGCAAAGTCAATGGGGAAGCCAGATTCTCTTAACAACTGTGTTACTAATTTAACAAATGCAGTGATTCTCTTAACAACGGTGGCAAGAAAAGTCATAAAGTGGGGCAAAACTCACTTAACAAATGTCTTATTGAGCAACACCAATTTTGGCCTCAATTGTAGTTGTAAGTCAAGGACTTCCTGTATTACTTTAGCGAACTTGCCTCTATCGAACGCCTATTTAATTAAATTAGTTGACTGAACTTTGCTTTACTTCATTGCCAGAGCACACAGCGTGGTAGCACCTTGCAGAAAAGACCTTTCCAGATCACTGAAAGTGAAATAATAATAGTAACAACAACAACAATAATAATAAAGTTGGAAGGGACCTTGGAGGTCATCTAATCCAACCCCCTGCTCAGGCAGGAAACCCTATACCCTTTCGGACAAATGGCTGACCAGTCTCTTCTTAAAAACTTCCACTGTTGGGGCATTCACCGCTTCTGGAGGCAGGTGGTTCCACAGGTTAATTGTTTTCACTGTCAGGAAGTTTCTCCTTAGTTCTAGGTTGCTTCTCTCCTTGATTAGTTTCCATCCGTTGCTTCTTGTCCTGCCTTCAGGCGCTTTGGGGAATAGCTTGACTCCCTCTTCTTTGGGGCAGCCCCTGAGATATTGGAACATTGCTATCATGTCCTCCCTCGTCCTTCTCTTCTTTAAACTAGACATATCCAATTCCAGCAGCCGTTCCTTATATGTTTGCTGTTACTTTTAAGAAAACTACAATAAGAGCCAACATTTTATGAGATATACCAAGCAAGAATGCCAAATATCGCCAGGTTCAGCAGCTTCAGAAGTTTTCAGCAATTTTTAAATACCCCATTCAACGTCTTCCGGGTGCCTCAGACATCAGCTCCCGTATTCTTAACCGAAATGCCCACACTGCTGGGCATTATGGACACCAAAGGCCAAGATGCGTGGCTTCACACATCATGCAAGCAATTACAACTTGATTTTCCATGGCCATTTTTGGCTGGGAAGCATGGGACTTGGTGTCCAACAGATCCCAGCAGGAAAAATGCTTGAAAGCCGCGTAGAACGTGCCAACGTTCCATAAATCTTGCCGGGCACTTTTAAAAAGCCTTACGCCAACGTGATCTGACCAGGGACCAGGGACTCTTAGCCCGATCCTTTATTCCCCAAGGCTCAGCCAGGCCAAGGTTCCGGATTTCAGAAGGATCTGGGTGCCAGACCAGGCGTTTCAGGCCTGTTTCTAAAGAAGCAAAGAATTAACACCTCCACTGCCAGGCACTCACCCCCTCCTTTTCAGGGCCTGCCTCGGCTAACCTTTTGTTGGCACGAACAATGTTGGCCATCTAATAACTAAAGGACGAGCGCAGTCACGACTCCATCAGCAACAAATAATCCTGTTCTTGAAGATCTGGGGCTGATGCCCAGAGGCCAAGCCACGCAAGGTACCTGCAGAAAGATTAGACCAGTGGTTCTCAACCTTTTTAATGCCGCGACCCCCAACAAGTCGTAAGTCGAGGACTACTCAACCAGTCGTTAAGTCGAGGACTGCTCAACTGGTGCAGCACCGTTTGCAGAAGGGGACTTTTGGCGGGCTCAGCAGGGCAGAGACAGCCTGGATAATTCCTATTGGCTTTGGAAAGCCAATAGAATTAGACTCTATTCAAGAGAGTCTATTCTATTGGCTTTCAAAAGCCAATAGAATAAAAGGGAGTAGCACAGCTAAGGAAAAGGGGGAAAAAATGGCGGACTGCGTTGTTTGGCGACCCCCTTGAAATGGTCGTTCAACCCCAAATG